TCCTTACACTTCTTGTCATAGTTCACTGACCATTCCAACTTCTTCAACTCCCTCCTCGCGTTGCCTTATAATCTAACATAAGAATGGAGTAAAGGATTTGTTGATTTGATACTATGCTGGGAGTCTCATATACGGGCTTTAAAAAAGTGCACCCTCCACCAATTTTTATAACTAGTACTAAATTTTACCATCTTTTAAAATGGTGGAAAAAGGGTAAAATTTTTTATTTGGTAATTGGCACCAAGTTGTTGGCGACTCTGCTTTATTGAGTTAAGTTGACTTCTATTACACCTATGAGTGCTTTACACATTTTAATTTTAGGCTTCATTTATGATGCGGAGGGTACAACACTCACATGATATGATGCACGTGGTCTCTTATCAGAAAAATGTATGCAATTGCAGCAAGAAAATCTTTCCTATTTATGCTTTTTGAAATTTAATAGAAGAAAGTGTTCGAGTATGCAATGATTGGTGAGGCAAATCTCCCTTCTCTTCTCTCTTTTCCTCTCTCTCATTTAATGGGGAGAGAAATCAAAGGGAAATGATAAGTGAAAGATAACTAAATTGTAGAGGCCCTTCCCATGGTGTGAATCTCAAGGTATTTAAGCATAAAATGACATGGAGATTTTGGTGGGAAATTCTAAATAGTTGTAGCGGTATATAGGATGAGGATATTGTTATATACAAATATATATGCTTTCACTTGCAACTTATTAGGGAAAAATGTATTTTTTTGTGTATGCATACTGTTCAGGAGGTATTCATTCCCCCCCCCCCCCCCCCCCCCCCCCCCCTCCCCTCTTCAAGTGTTGAATTTTGTCTACTGACTTCATAATTTATTAAAGGATAAATTACACTATCAGCCCCTTGAGGTTTGTTCTCATTACACTAGGACTCCTGATCTTTTGAAAATTGCATCCCCTTCCCTGAGGTTTATTGCCTTTTCACATGCAACTTATTAGGGGAAAATGTGTGTTTTTTTGGGTGTGTGTGTACTGTTCAGATGGTATTCATCTTGTTTCTTCAAGTTTTGAATACTGTGTATTGACCAAGGGCTGTAGGGATGGCAATTTGAACCCGGCCCGACGGGGACCCGACCCCCCGTCCCCGATAAGAACGGTTTTTCCCCGAAAAATACTCCCCGCGGGGCGGGGATGGTATTAAAAAATAGTGTTGACTTTTTGTAGTGACTTTTGAGCTAGAACTATAAGTAACCAAAATAGGCCCTTAGTATCCAAAATTTCATAATTTGTTAAAGGGTTTAAACTACACTATCACCCCTTGAGGTTTGTTATCATTACATGATTCCTGACTTTTTGAAAATTACATTCCCTTTCTTGAGGTTTATTGTCTCATTACACATAACCCCCTTTATTGGTCAACCATTAATTGACTTGAATAATTTTGGATGATGTCATCAATAAAATATTATAAAATGTCAATTTTAGGCCTTGGTTTCCTCTATTTCCATCTCCTCTACTTGCGATCTCTTCTGTCTTTCTTCTACCCACACATAACCCTCCCTCCCTTTACACCCAACTATCAATGCACCCATCACACAACCACCAACCACAACCATCATAACCCATAACCTCCTTCTCTTTTCTACCCAAATCCCATCAACCCTTCTTCAGCCATCAAATGCAGCAAAAATCCAATTTCTCAACCCGTTTGGGGGCTATGGTGGAGGAATATGGCAATGATGGAGGTTAGGGCATGGTATGGGGCTATGAAGCATGGACACTCCAAAATTGATGCCGTAGCAGTGTCCGACACGCGGACACGCCGGGGACACGGGGACACGCCGTGGACACGTACGGGACACGCCAGATGGCGTGTCCCTTTAATTTAATGATTTTTTTGGAAGGGGACACGGCAGTCCGTATCCGTGTCCGTGTCCGTATCCGTGTCAGTGTCCGTGCTTCATAGGTATGGGGCATTGATGAGTATGATTTAGTGGTATCAATGGCCATTGGGTGTTGTCGTCAACGACGTTCCAATAAAGAAGCAAGGGTAGGTGGCAATGTTGTATTGTGTGAGGTGGGTGATGCCACTACATTGATCATTGTTGTGGGGTTGAGAGAATGCTATAGATTAGGGAAAGTAGTGGGGAGAGAGAATTAAGGGCATAGTGGAAAAATAGAAAACAATATAAGGGTAAAATGGTCATTTAACTATTTTTGTCAGCACCATTAAGTGGCAAACACAAACAACAGGTGTCAGCATAATTTCTCAAATGTGAGGGGAGAATCTGTATTAAAAGAAAACCTCAAGGGGTATCTGTGTAATTTATCTTTTTCAAAATATAAGGCTGTTTTAAGTGTCAAATAGTGTCTAAGGAGTTTTATTCCTGACATATTTTGACATGGAGATGGCTCATAAGAGAAAGAAATGTTTGTTGGATGGAGTGGATGATGTGATCTAATACAACTATGAACATTTACTCCCCACTAGGGTATGGTAGGATTGGGATTGATTATAGTTTGCGTTTGCTAAAGTCCTATCTTGCCCCATTCCCATCCCTTAACTTTCTTAAGCTTGGTTATAAATCCTTCTAGATCATTGCCATCTTATACTGGCATAGTTGGAGGTTTTGCCTTCTTATATTTGAACACGAGTCCTTAGTTGTGATTTCTTTCTTTTGTAATTTCTTGGTACTCTTCTCTTTTCAAATCATGGGAGTCAAGTATTGTTTTATTTGTTGTGGAAGACATTAGTGAATCAGTCATTGCAAATTGTAAATATTGAAATACACTGCTTCTTTATCAAGTTATTAGCTTACTGAATCTATCCTTGGTATAGAATTTACAGTTTTTGTGAATGAGTAAAGCTTTGCAGCTGCTGATATTTTTTATCTATTATAACTTTGCAACTAATTTACAATGACCATATATTGATGTGCTATCTAAGTACCTAATCAGTAGCTACAGTTCACTGGTGTAGGTAACTTGAATTTTAGTTTGAAATATCTGAAACCCTTTCAAAATATGAATCTTACCCTAGCTTACAATTGTGAGACTTTGTTGCATGGGTCATAAACTTGGGTAAGTAATATTATCTTAACACCATTTCTTTTGTGGTTTGTATGATGCATATTTTTAAATTTTGGTGATATATCACTGTATTACACTATATAATGGGAAGAGTAAACAAAAAAAATATTTTCTTGTATCTATTTCAATATATTGGTAAGGTTGCTTCATTGTGACTTGGGCATCCGGGGTTCGAACCTTAGTAGCAGGAATCGTGGGAAGGGAACCTGGCTCACGAAGACAACAAAACTCAGAAAATTGAGCTGCTCCTCTCCAAACAACGTAGACTCTGACGTTGATCGATCTTCTCTCTATCTCTCTCTCCCTCTCCCTCCCTTTTGGGACTCTTTTATTGGAACTCTTGCCAAAAGAAAAGACTCTTATTGGAACTCTAATTCTCTCTTTTTATTTGGTCAGATGAAAAGACTTTCATTTATTAAAAAATAATGGCATTACTATTTTTATTTAACTTTCATTTATTTAACTTATATGTGTTCGATCTATAAGTTTATATGAAAAAATTATTGGGACAACTTTTTAACTCATATTCATATAAGAATATATTTGAAAAATATATTTCTATTATCATTAGAGACAAAAATATAATCTTACAATATATTATTTAAAATATATGCAAACGCTCCCAACCAGAGATTCTTGAAATGTCTATGATTCCATGCTTCCGCTCCCGCTTCGTGCAACTAAGGTTCAAACTATGAAATTAGCTTATTTTAAATTGGGATGATTTTAACTGCTTTTGTTTTTTTGGGGTCAAAATTGTGGTTTTTAAAATTTTTTTGGTTCTATTTTTAGGGATAACTACAAGGCGGGGTATGTGTCTGTGGACCCCTACCCCACTCCTATTTATGAAATTTGTTCCCATAGCCAAGTCTACCTTCTATACCCCTCCCCTACACCCATCCGTACCCATTTAGTGTAAACCTGCTCCCGATCTGCCCCTGAACTGTTTAGTTTTACAACTTTTTCATTATTGAATTTTAAGAATGTGGTTTCATAGTTTAGGATAACAAATGATTTATATGGGTCAAAGTATACAAACTTGAAAGTTGATTGGCATTGTTTGGTGTGGACCGTGGTATATAGAGAACATAGAATGGAAAAGAAAAAAATCCTAAAGATCATTTTAGCCTTGTTTGGGAAGAGGGTTGAGCTAAAATAGCCCACTAAAAGACAAAATAGGCTGAAATAGACAATGAGATAAAATGTTACATCCAATCCATAATCATTTCACTTTTTCTTTTACAAATATCAAATCAACTACAAAAAAAAAGCTAACAAACTTCCTAAACACAACCTTTTTAGCCGGGCTAAAATAGTCAAAAAGCCAAATAGCCAACTTCCCAAACAAGGCCTTTATATGATCAAGCAATAATGAAAATATATACATACATGAAATATTTTTGTAAGAGTACATATATTCGTGTTTTTTCATTCCCATCCCCAATCCTACCCTATTAAGAATTCTTCAAACCCATTTCATTAAGGTTGGGGACCTGCTGGTATTTATCCAAAAAAAAAAAGGTAGGGGACCTGCTGGGTTGTGTTTTTTTCCATCTATCCATTTTCCTGTTCTTTGGGGGGATATTTGCTAGACAATGAAGCGTAAATGTTAATTCTAGAAGCTGTGCAAGACTGAGCAACTAATAGTCAGCTCTGACCCTATTTTTAAATCTGTTGAGACAAAAAGATCAAAGATCAATACAAGTTGAATTTGAGGAACACCTATTCTTCAAGATCACCTTGTAATCATTTTTAGATGTTTCTGAATTCTAGTATGAAGTACCGGAAGATTTGATGCCCTTTGACTACTTGCATAATATGGTTTGTCTTTCTTTGATTCCTTTTTCTTTGAGGCTTTCTGAATTATGTTCTTTCTGAATGAATGCTTGGCTTCAATTTTTTTTTTTGTTCTTTTGTTTTGATGACACCAATATCTCTCTTGCAGTAAGGTTCGGAATGTGGAGGAGATATTGACCATTGAGGTAAAACCTGGTTGGAAGAAGGGAACAAAAATAACATTTCCCGAAAAGGGTAATCAGGAACCTGGTGTCATTCCAGCTGATCTTATTTTCGTGATAGATGAGAAACCTCATGCACTTTATATAAGGGATGGTAACGATTTGGTGGTCAATCAAGAGATATCACTTGTGGAGGCCCTTACAGGTAAGACCCTTGAGCTGACAACCCTAGATGGAAGGGAGATCACGGTCCCATTGACAGAGATCGTCAAACCTGGGTACGAGGTAGTTGTCTCAAATGAAGGAATGCCAATTTCAAAAGAACCCCGAAGGAAGGGGAATTTGAGAATTAAGTTTGATGTCAAATACCCATCGCGACTTTCCACAGAACAGAAATCAGAACTCAAGAGAGTTCTTGGGGGCAGCTCCTCGTAATTTTCTCTTAAAAAAGGTTCAGGATGACTATATCAACGAAGGTAGATATTGCAGCTGCTTTGGATGTAAATATAGTAATTGCATGCAATTGAAGATTGTGAATACTAGGAAGAAACTTTTAGTTGCGGCATGATGGTTGCATTTGTTGAAGTTGGATGGGATTTTATTTGTTATTAGCGAGGATGGGCTTCTGAGTGTGATTGGGAGAAATAGGTAGGTCAAATTGATCCCAGTATTTGTCCTTTTTTGGTGCCTCGCGCTTGGATTGTTTTGTTGTTTATTAGGATTTCTATTCTATGTCTGAAGATTATTTTCTTCGCCTTTAGAACAGATGGTTAGGGTTGATCTCACTAATAGCATTAAATGAGATTGAGTTTCATGTAATGGTTTATTAACACAATTAAACTTGACGGTTTGTTTGTCTCTTGATTTTGTTTTCTTAAGGAAACAAGTATACGATGATTGTTAGGATCATTACTGATTTCTTGCTTCCTGGGTTTTCTTTTAACATACAAAAAGATTTCAATTTCCCTGCTAGCTGTGTGATTGTACTTTGCGGCATAGGTGCTCCTCTCTTTTGCGCGAACCCACCCCCTCTTTTAAACTTCAGAAGTGCCTATCCTATCTCGGAAGCTCCCAAGAATCTCATGCTTACCTTAGTACAACAATAATACAGATAATAGATGGTTTGTTTTATTTTATTTTTTCAATTGACATTGGATGACAGTTACTTTCATGTTAAGCGGTCTTGGAAAACTGGTCACTTGACCTCTCTTACAAATGGAGGTGTGCGTGGTGCAATTTGGATAGTTTGAAAGTAAAATTATAAATTGAATGACAGATTGACGGATTAACAAATAGCGGTTTTGGCAGTTTTGAGTGAATTGAAAAATATTTTAACAAATTATCAAGTATTTGCATAATATATAATATTAATTTGCATTATGTTTTTTATATATGTAATACAAATTAATTTTACATAATATTTTTTTATATAGACAATACTAATTTATAACAAATTTCACATCTTAAATCTCTTTTACATTTATTTTTACTTTGATATTTTATTAGAACTTAAAAAATAAATATGTATTAACTATAGCGGAATAAAGTGATTTTAACGGTGGATTATAAATTTTAAAGTTTAATCTGTGATTAGCGGATATAATGGTATAAATTGGTACAGATCGATACACGGATTGAGTGATATTTTGTATCACTCTAGTTACAAATGTGTGTTTAGAAATACTAGTTTAAACATTTGTCCCAAGAAAATCTTTTGAGAAGATAGGGTTCCCATTCTCCCATTTAGGGTTGGTTTGAGAAATGATTTTTTTTAGTCATTTTTTGATTTTTTTTTTATTATAAAAAGATGTGTAAAAACATAGAGAATGATGAGTTGATTTTTTGTAGTGACATTTTTGGCTAAAAATTTAGTCTTTCAAACAAGACTTTAGTTTTTTGTTCACTTATGAAATGTGTTATTTCTACATTTTAGTTTTCAAAATTTGATTTTAGTGCCAACCTTTTTGCTCTACAGCCATACAAGGAATCAATGTCATTATATATATAGACATCTTACCCATTTTTTTTGGCTTTTTGTTCTATGAAGATACCGAAACAATTCATAGAACAAAAATCACTGTCCAATAATTATTTAACAGTTTTGAAGGACTATATGTTATTAGTTAGGTATTATTACAAATTAATGATGTAGTGAAATTTTTTAAAGAAATCCATTTGGTGTGTTATCATTTTTTATTTATTAAAAGTATTATGTAAATAATATTATATAAAATTTCAAAAAAGTATCTAATAATGTACTCAATTTGTCATAGTTGGAAGAATGTGATGACATAAAGCACATTAAAAAAAAACTAGAAAATGAAAGAAGGAATAGTGGATCCATATCAGAGCCCACTCCAGTAAAAAAGAAAGAAGGCAGTCCACTAGCACAAACCCCCTTTTATTTTTTTAAAACAGTTGGTGGGATTCGAACTTATTGTCCACCACACAATTATTTTCATATTATTATTTGGGTCCAGCACACCAATTCATAAGTACAAATTTAGATCTTTTTATGTCTAAAATTGATATTGTATTACTAAAATTGTTACTTGTTAAAAGTTCTAAATTTGTCATTTTCCTAAAAACAATTGTGGACACCCTAAAAAGGTCACTTTTAAAGTGGTTGATTTGTTTTAACCCCCTTAAGCACACCAATTGTTTTAACAACAATGGTAGAGACCACTAATTTTGGAACTCTAAAAAGACTACTAATGACATGACACTCAATAAAAAAGAAAAAAAATATAACACCAAGGCCAAAACATCAAATCATTCCTGGTGGAGCTCACTGCCACATCATTAGTGATAGCACTAATTAGTGCTCTCACTCATTTTCCTTGTTTTAATTCATGTTGTCATTTTCCTCTTGTGCAAGCTTAGGAACACTACTAGCAATAATAATAATAATAATAATAATAATAATAATATAATTATGGCGATAGTACATTTTTGAAGATGGTCATGATTTGAATAAATAAACCAAAATCGTCAATAAATTAGATTTGGTCGTAATTGACAAGTCACATTCAATTAAACAAGATTTGACTATAATCAACAAGTCATAATTAACAGAAAATTATTTTTTGGTATCAATACATATACATCATTTATCATATGCATATTTAGTTATGTCATTTCCTTCTTTACTTATAATCAATTTTCTTCTTTAGTTATGATATTATTTTAAATTTTTTGGTTATACCTCATGTAGTGTTTGGTTGACTTTTTATTTTATAATTATAACTCAAAAAGTATGAAAGTGTATCATTTTTTTTTTTTAAATTATAAGGCACATCATTTTAGGACTATAGTTTTTCCTTCATTTTATTATACTAGTTGTGGGGTACAAGATGTGTTTATAATTTTATATTTATATTTTTGAATAATTTGATAAATAAGAAAAATAAGTTATATTAGAAAATTTATTTAGCAGTTATTATAATCATTTATAGATATTTTTTGGGCATTGTTGGAAGAGAAAAATGTGCTATGAGTTTCAAACGATCTTACGGGTTGTATGCTTTATATAATGAAATATATATTTATTTTATTTTATTTTGGGTGGTATCTAAAGTTTGTTCACCAGTTCCTTTCCTTTCCCTCGAAACAGTGGGTGGAATTATAACACAATTGAAAGGCTGTACATCTCTCTCTCTCTCGGTCTCATATCTATCTATATTATATATATAAAAAAAAAAAAAAAAAAAAAAAAACCCTTAACAGTATACAAGTATTTAAAAAAATAAAAATTAAAAGTATTTGGTTAAAAATCAACTTTTTCATAAAATAAACAATATTTTTTTGAAAATGTCTAATAGAATTAGTAAAAGTCAATTTTATCCTTTGTACTTTGAGGGATTTTACCGTGTCTCTTTGGTTATATTAACAAAAGTTTCACAACATTATAAGAGTAGGGTTGGATTTTTCTCAAGTTGTTATCTCAATCTGAGATAGTGTTTGAGTTTAATAGGTCCATTTTGAGACTTATTTCAGTGATCCGAACTATTCAATTTTTAAGACTAATGAGTTGAATATTCATGTAAAAAAATCAAGATCATCGGATATCGTTAACTATATGTTTGAATCAAATTTATTTTTTAAAAATGGACGACAAATATAATTGCAAGAATAGCCATCCACTTTTTGTAATACAAATTTGATTCAAATATATAGATATTGATATTCGATCATCTTGATTTTTTGCTTAAATATTCTACTCAACGAGTTTTAAAAATTGAACAGTTTGAATCATAGATATAATTATAACTCAAAAAGTATGAAATTATACCATTTTCTTTTTTTAATTATAAGGCACATCATTTTAGGAGTGTGCACTATAGTTTTTCCTTCTTTTTATTATACTAGTTGTGGGGTACAAGATATGTTTATAATTTTATATTTATATTTTTGAATAATTTGATAAATAAGAAAAATAAGTTATATTAGAAAATTTATTTAGCAGTTATTATAATCATTTAGTAGATATTTTATGGGCGTTGTTGGAAGAGGAAAAAGTCTAAGTTTCAAACGATGTTATGAGTTCTAATGCTTTGTATAATGAAATATTTATTTTATTTTATTTTGGGTGGTATCTAAAGTTTGTTCATCAGTTCCTTTCCTTGCCCTCGAAACAGTGGGTGGAATTACAACACAATTGAAAGGCTGTACATCTCTCTCTCTCTCGGTCTCATGTCTATCTACACTATATTATATATATATAAATAAAATAAGGGAATGAAAACTTAAAATCTTGCAATAGGAATTTAAATTTTTAGGATATGAATTAATTCTCTAAATTCTATTATAGGCTCTCACTCTTGGTTTTAAATATTAGGGTGTCCTTACCCGGGCTCCCAATTTTGATATAATCAATTTGTTTTTCTTTTTTATTTATTTTTTTGTATATGAATATAAATTATCAAAGTTATATGCGGGGAACATAATCTACTAATTAATCTTAATTTATTTTTTTCAAATATCCTACTATAATGTAATGTGATTTTAGTTTTCCAATACTATTATTTATTGATACTATCCATTATTCTTCGATATAAATATATATTTCAATATCATTATTTATTTAAAACCATGCTCTCACCTGTCTTCCCAATCAGATATAGCTCTTGAATCATCTTCTTGGATTGCAGAATCATCTTCTTGGATTGCACAAGTTGTTCTGATTCTGATGATAGCCACTCATTCAGTTCTATGAAGATACCGAAACAATTCATAGAACAAAAATCACAGTCCAATAATTATTTAACAGTTATAGATATTTTTTGGGCATTGTTGGAAGAGAAAAATGTGCTATGAGTTTCAAACGATCTTACGGGTTGTATGCTTTATATAATGAAATATATATATATTTATTTTATTTTATTTTGGGTGGTATCTAAAGTTTGTTCATCAGTTCCTTTCCTTGCCCTCGAAACAGTGGGTGGAATTATAACACAATTGAAAGGCTGTACATCTCTCTCTCTCTCTCTCTCTCTCTCTCATATCTATCTATATTATATTATATACATACATATATATATATATATATATATATATATAAAATAAAATAAAAGAATGAAAACTTAAAATCTTGCAATAGGAATTTGAATTTTTAGGATATGAATTAATTCTCTAAATTCTATTATAGGCTCTCACTCTTGGTTTTAAATATTAGTGTCCTTACCCGGGCTCCAAATTTTGATATAATCAATTTATTTTTCTTATTTATTTATGAATATAAATTATCAAAGTTATATATGTGGAACATAATCTACTAATTAATCTTAATTTATTTCTTTCAAATATTCTACTATAACGTAATGTGATTTTAGTCATCCGATACTATTATTTATTGATACTATCTATCATGTTTCGATATCAATCGATATATAACCGTTTGATATCAATAT